AAATAAACTCTAGGCTAAATGCTTGCACCTTTTGTTTGTTGGTTATCATATCTACTGCCCTGTCCTAAACAAAGGAACCACTGTCTTTCTTTTGTACTATTGGAATAGTACTTTGGCTATAATTATAGATAGAGTTTGGAGAAGAGTCAAAAGGACATCTTAAGGGACTGAGTGTTAAACAAGATGTAAAGAAGTCTTGGAAGTTTGATATAGTCCATTTGGGACATGTAAAATTTTGGATACCTATTTGATATACAGTCAAATTTATCAAATCATTGACTGAGCATTTTAGTCTATCTTTCAGAGAAATGTTTAGAATTAGATGTCAACATTCAGAATTTATAGCTGTTTTCCTTATAGCATTTAAAGGTTTGGAAATAAGTGGTTTTGTCTATGGATAAAGTATGGTAGCCTGAGGCACTTTAACATCAGAAACTAGAAAGAATTAGCATTGAATATTGAGCAAGACTGACCAAATCCACAGTGTCTGAGATACCAAGAAAGAAGAAAATGATATGGGGAAAAATGACCACATGAAGCATTGTTCTGAGATTGTTTAATGCAATTTGAATAGAGAAAAATATGAAAATCTAAATTAATAACTATAAATAATACTTATTTTGCTACAAATTAAAGGAATTGGAAGGGTTGGTGGAAAAGAGTTTTGTTTTTACGTGTTGGAAAAATGACAACTTTGCAAGATAATTGCCATTATCCAAACTAGAGTGAAAATTACTAATATATTAAAAGGTTAATTAAAGTAGAGGAATACCTGTGTCAAGGAAGATAATATACAAAAGGTGGCCGGTAGAATCAGTCCTTCATTAAAACAGAAACACCTAATATATTGTAGACAAATAAAGTGCTTTAAGATTATGTTCCAACTTCTTTGCGTTCTGTTCTAAAGCCAGGAAAATAACATGAGCATAACCAAGTATGTGTACATGAATGTTGCTGCACACTTTTATAACACTGGCACCCCTGTCAATTTAAAATTTGGTAAAAAAGTTTTTTTGGTTTTAATATTATAACTTCAATTGTGACTATCACACTAGCCTTGTGATTGTAAAACTAGGGTTTAAGATAAATAAGATTTTAGATATGCTGTTTATGCATTTTTTGAAATACACTGTTTTAAGATTTAGAAGAGAAATAGTGTTACTCCAAATTTTAATTTCTTGTACAGAGAAGACTATTTCCATTTTAACTCACTAGACAGCATGCAGATCAGAAGGAAAATATACAAAATATTAAAATTTACAATAAGTGTGAATAATTATGTTAATTTATCTGAAAAATTTTGGCATTGCTCATTTGTAAAAGTTAGGAATTTTTTCAACGATAATCATAAGACATATAGTACATTAAACACAAAGTATTTGCAGAAAAATTTAGGGAATTCTTAGACATAGTACAGGGTGGCTTATGGAAGCAAAATAAAACAAAACATATTATTCAATAATAAACCTACTCTTTATATCTTCTTCATATCTTTATATATATCTTTATGTCTTTACATGTTTATATCTTTATATACTCTTTATATCTTCCATGGTAACTTATGAAATCTCTTTTTATTTTATTTATTTATTTTTTTATTTTGATTTGTTTTAGTCACTTTTCTTGCTTTTTGTTTGGACTTTTAGCTGTGGCTATAATTTTTATGGACAAGAGAGTTTTTGTGTCATGCATATATGATGAGTTGCAACGTTTTCAATAAAGACAGCATTCAGAGACCTCACTTTTGCCTCTCATATTGTATTTACTACAATAAAAATTGTTTGGAATAAATATAATATAGATTTAATAGAAATAAATGCTTTTAAAGCAGAGGTAGAGGGGCAGGGATTTAGCTCAGTGATTTCACCGCCTGCTGCACAAGAGCAAGGACCAGAGTTCGATCCCCGGAACCAAAAAAATAAAAATAAAAAAATGAAGTAGAGGTATAATCTGTTTCTTAACTTTAAATATTGATCATTTTTTATTGTTTCTATTATACCATATTCCTCTAAATCTAGACATTTCGTTATTCTAATATAAACTTTTTTCATTACTTTAGCTACAGAAAATAAAATTAAGAAAATACACTTACAGAAAATAAATACAGAAAATAATACACAAAAATAAAATAATAGAAAATAAATACAGAAAATAAAATTAAGCGTGCATAAAAACACATGCACTGTTACATTTACTTAGGAGTCAGTAGCTTTGATTGTTAAGAAGTTGTAAGAAACTTATCTTCGTCTCAGAAATAAACAGCACCATTTCTAAGATACAAACCAAAGGCTAGATGTACAACACCAAACTTCAAAGTAATTTATGTGATAGAATTTCTAAGAATATATTTTAGCTTTAAAATATGTCAAATTACATTCCCTTGATTTTTAGAGCCTTATGCTTACATTTTCTAAACTGTTCATCAGGAAAAAATCAACTAAATATTTGAGGCTTATTAGCACTTTTTGTTTTTTGGCAGTACTGTGGATTGAGGCCAGGGCCTTGCATAGACTAGGCAATGCTGTAACACTAAGCTATTTCCTTAACCTTAGGTATACTTTAAAATACAAAAAACAAATGAATATTAATGTACACACTACAAAAATATATTTTATGAACCTAATTAAAATCAGTAGAAATAATAGTTACAGAATGCTAAAGCATTTTTATTGCATACCAGCATGATACTTTGTTGCATCTTGGAAACAGGAATAAAATTTAAAAAGCAGTGAATTAATTGGGATTAATGGGGTATATTCTCTTTCTTCATATGTATATATATTTTTTCTAAGAATAGTTAAATTTCTATATTTTTCCAATTCTGTTGAAACTTTAAACCTCGGGTATTCAAAAATATTGAAATATGCAAATTATTTTCGTCACTTATTTTAAAATAAGAAAAATAACTCAATTATGTCTTTTATTTTGCCTTTTATTCTAGTTCTTTCCATAGCAAAGTCAAATAATTAAATATTTCAGTATAAGTTATTGCATTTCAATAAAACATTAAATAGACATTGTTATTTCTGAGTCTTTCTAGGCCTTTTCTCTTCTGAAACTCATTTTCTCTGTTACTAATCTCATCTAAAATCAATATTCTTAAATTTCCACCCTCCTTGCATTTTCTACACAAAATGTAATTTATAATAATTCATAATAATTTATGAATAATTTACAGTAATTCATAATGACATATGCTCATTTATAATTAATGAAAATTATAAACATAGGTTTTATCTTATACATTTAAGAAATAATTACAGATACACATGGTATCATTAGCAAAAAAAAATCATGAGAATGCAGATTGTAAGAAAAGATCAAATAAATATAATCAAACCAAATTGGCCAGTTGTCTCATGAATATAAGAGATTCTTACTTTGAGCTAAATTTATTTATGACAATATCAATATTTTATTATATTTTCCTTGTGGATGAATTATCTATCAATGTTTTTATTAGTTTATTTTTCTAGAATTTGTATGCATTTACCAAAAATAATCACAGAAATGATTAAATACAAAAATACTTCAAGGTTATTTAATCTGACCTTGTTCTTAAATCATAAATTTTCTTTATATTTATTTAATTTTATTTTAAATACCTCTGAATCTTTCATTCTTTTTACTTTATTTTGGTCAGCAATTTGCTAGGTTTTGGCTAATAGTATTAACAATTGCTCACTTTGGTCTTTCAAATATCATTCTGTCTCAGTCACCTAAAACTGAATGTTTACATTTGTTATATTACCTTAAAAAATGCAAAACCAAATTTTTAAATCTTTTTCAAAATATAGTTCTAGATTTTATTATTTTGAAGACTTTTGAAAATAATCCCTATTTCACTGGACTAGATTCCCCTTTTAAATAATGCTTGTATTTAAAATGACATTTTTAATATACCAAATAACATATAAGTATAAATTACATGTAACATATATTACATTTACATTTAAATGCATTTGTGTATATATCTTTCTACCTAACATGTATCTAGAGGGGATGCAAAAAAGAAATGATGGAAAGAAAAATATGAAAGTGATGGATTGTGCTATGTACAAAAATATTTTATGAAAAATATATTTTTATTTTTATGTCCTGGCATCTGTTCCTTGAAAAAATATGTAAGAGTATGAATATAATAACTCCAGTTTGAGAGATGAAAATGATAAAGAATTGATATATACTATGTTGAATCTATTGGACATTATGATAAGGGTTAATTTTAAAGTCTTATATTAGTTACACAAAAAGAATAGTCTATTTCTTAATGTTAATAAATATCACTTCACTAAGCAAGACAAAGCAGCTGAACCAATAAGAAAGAAATAAAATCCCTGTGTAATGTATAGCCTTGAGCACAACAAATAAGCCAATGGGAAGTACACCTCTTTCATATAACCATTTTAATAAAATATACATATGGGAGAATCTCCCCAGATTCGATGACAGAAAAATGGGGAAGGAAAGTATGAAGGAAAGACATATATGGAGCCCTGGTCAATTTCTTTGCATTCTCTTGTTTGTATTCCACCATTTCTGATAATGTTTGAATACCAGTTTAACTCCAGGTTCCCCACATTTCAACAAACAGTGGAAATAGCGGGCAGTAACTGTTATGTATAGAACAAAGTCATTGCTGTAGCATCTGTCACTAGCTAATGGCTGTCTGCCTATCATTGGCTAATAGTGACCACTGGCCATTGAGAGAAGACTCAAGACTCTGAAAATACCTAGCATCAGAACCTAGGATAGGAGATATGGAAATGTTCAGTGTCTTACATCTCAATATATTCTTTGCCCAGTTACCTAAATGCATGTTTAATTTGGTTTTAAAACCCAGTCTTATGACAAGCTAGTATAATCTGTTTAGAAGATACTTTCATACAATTTTTCCCTTTGTTTTTATTTCTTTCCTTCTCTCAATTCCCAAATGTTTACTTCTAATATAGAGTTTTTTAGGAAGTTGGATCTACTGCAACAGCATCACATGTAATTACCTGTGGTGGAAGCAATGGCAGTCGTATAAATGCAAGAAGCATACTCAGGTCGTTACATCTCCTCTGCATGTCATACTTGACCCACATCATTAATGCATGGAAGATGGTTTCTTCATCAGGAACATTTACATCATCACTGGCCAGTAGTTTATGAAGCTCCTCAGCTGGAAGGAGTAAGAACTCTTGATTTCTGATAACTTCCATTATGTTTTCCTGTGGGGGGAAAATATCTTGGCATAAATTCTTCTTCACTTTTATTTGTCTAGGAAAGCATCTCAGAAAGAAATGAGAAAGGTAGTCAATAATTTTGTTCTCATTATAACATAATCCTTGAGACTAAATCCTTCAGAAACTATGGCTGTTAAGATGAAAGCATTGTAATTGTAATTGAAGTGTAAATATATCTGAAACAGCACAGATCTTGTAACAAATGGAGAATTATAATGTTGAGCTTTGTTATGCAGACAGAATGTACTAAGTGATTAAATGTTCAAATTTCAAGTATATTGCTATGTAAGAGTTAGTGAACATAAAAAGAATAACATTTCACATTTTTAAAAGCTTGGCTACACATACATGAATCAGAAAATGGCAATAAATTACACAAAAATTTAACACTATAAGGCCCATCATTGTTAATTCAAAAGAGAAAAATCAGAATGCATAGGCCATAGAAATCCCCACATCCCAAATGTTTTACCCTCCTGTCATCTCTCATAACTCCTAGCTCTCATGATAACTTCTTTGGCTTACTTTAGAGTCACATTCACTTTTTTCCAGATTGCTATAACCTCCAAGTGTTCTTCTTCAATCTATTCTTAGCATCTCAACTGGATTCTCTATAATGATGTCAAAATTATATTTCTAAAACATAAATATGCATATAGCACCACTCAAAGATTTTGTTTTGTTTTGTTTTATGTCCCATCCTCTTGTGTTTTGGTTCACACTGCTTGTTTGAACACTATAGTTTTGTAATATCTGACCCCTTCTGGTTATATTCATCTCTTCCCTTACTTACATTACAAAGTATTCACAAATGTACTTAGTCTTCTTTCAATTTGCCACGCTGTTTGACATGTCCTCCATTATTAATCTCTTTGCTTAAAATGACATATCCACTTTGCTTTCCTAAATCCTGGCTCATTTCAAGATGCCATTCAAGAGACGCCGATTGTACATGGCTTCTTCACCGCCCTCATTTGACCTGGGACAAATGAGCTTGACTTCGGACACAACCACGAAAGCCTGATAGTGCATGATATGAGCATCCTGCTAAGGAACAGCAACTACCAAAAAGCAGCCTAAATTTTGGTACACATAGGTGTGTGATTACAATTTGTGAGCTGTAAGACTTTGACTTATGTGAACTTGTGTACCTAGATCCTGGCATGGTGCCCGGAAGATAACAGAAGAATTATATATATTTATAGGATAGATGAACTGATAATTTTGCAGAGGAAAAAAATGTTGTCACAGGGTAGAGTACTACTGTGTTTTCTAAATATATTTTTAGTACAAAACCTGAAATAAAGTGAGACTAAGATTTTAAAAAGCTATTTTTACTACATTAAAACTGAGTAGAGTATTCATCAATACCAAATAACCTTCATGTTGCACACTTATTTTAAGCAGATTGACATTTAATTTTGAGAAGAAACATGACCTGTGTTAGCACAGAATGTTAACTTTTACTTTCTTTCAGGTCATCTGTCGTCTCTTTACATAAATTATACAATAGAAGTACAATGTGTATATAGTGTCATATATATAACATATATATATATAAAGCAATATTACAGAATAGCTGTGTTATTTTCATTCTCAAAAATTATTTTGTCCCCTGTGATTCCTCTGGATTTATTTGGTGCTACATAAATTATAGATGTTCAATATCTATTTATTAGGTAAACAATTTAACTCTTTTCAGATTTATTGCTACCAGATTTATCTAAAGAGCTAAATGTGAGAAAAACATTATTAAAGAATCTTGGAAAGATATTTTGATCATTTTCTTTTGAAGTTATTCAGAAATAGCTTTGTCTACACACAGAATTGTATGGCTAGACCATCAGTATATAGTGAAGAATATCATAAAAAAGCTCTGAAACTTTTAGCGGTGTCGATCATAAAGACATCCTTCAAGGCATATTTCATTATATTTTATAGTGTCCTCTTTTTCCCTTGGGGAAATTTTCTTTCAGATTTTAATAGCAGAAAAAGTTGTACTTCTCCTGAGTAAATTGGTTTGCTTTTATCATGAATGGTGTAAATTATGAAATTGATCAGACTTCTCTTTTTATTTGGCCTCTAGAAAACTTAGAGTCAAATTGAAACACATCTGGCAACAAGGTTATAGCTCTTTATACTTTCATTTCTTTTTCAGACAGCCCAGATAATAGTTTCATTTAATATTGCCACAACAACTTTTCTTTCTATTTTCCCCTCTTTTATTCCAACATCTGATTTTGCTTATATATCTATAGGATGCAAAGCCCTATCGTTGTAGTCATACTAAATCTTTTGAGATCTATCAATGTTGTTTGTATAAATTACTATAGATAAACCATAAATTAGAAGCTAGTGGAAGTTTTTACTGGTTCTGTCATACTTGCCCATATATTACATTGCTTATTCTGTTAGTTTCTACATACTTTGTATGTAAAGAGTATCATAAAGAAGCTCTCTGAAACTCTTAGAGGTGTTGATCATAGAGAGATTGTTCAAAGCATATTACATAATATTTTGTAGGGTCCTCTCCTTGATGACCCTTGGGGAAATTTTCTTTCAGGTTTTAGTAACATAAATAATTCTACTTATAAAAAAAGTTTTGTTTTTTACATAGTATTTCATTAAGTGCCCTTTCAATGATACCTGGCCTGGTATTTTGCTGTAATAATTTCAATGTTGCTTCTTGACAGTATTCATTTTAATTGTTTTATTGATAAAAGAAGTAATATCAATGAATAGTAATTTCCTTACATTGCTTGTAAGCAGTGCTTTTACCTGTTAATACCATATAATGAAAGTGTCTGTTATGGTTTGGGTCTGGATGTTCTCATGTGGTTATATGTGGGTTAATCTAGAGTGTGTGATGCTAGGATTAAGGGCATGTGATTACTAAACCACTACATGTGAGTGATTGGTTTGAGACCACCCTAATCTTGGTGGTCTGAATAGTATAAAGGGCATGGAAAGATACAGTTAAGGAGTCTCTTGTTGCTTTTGCAACAAGAACTGTTGCAATGAACTGGATCCATGAACTGTTGCTCTTCTGCAACACGTCTCTACCATGTTTCACTCTGTCTTGCAACTTGCTGATTATGGACTGAAACCTTTACAAACTGAAAGCCAAATAAAGCACTTCTCCCTCTAACTTTGGATGTGGGGTATTTTGTCTCAGGAAAGGGAAAAGTAACTAACATAGCATCTAAACTTTTGGACCTGGTGGCTTTGTGTAAAATCTCATACTGTTACTTTATTCCAAAATTCTTTCACCGTAAATTTACTGAACACTTTATATGTGGCCATGAAAAACTTGTGAGGCAAACAGAGTGGAATCAAAAAGTTTATCACAGGAGAGACATATATAAAAAGTGATGAATAAAATTTTAAGGAAATTACTACTTATAGATATATGATCAATAATATAATGAGGAGAAAGCAAAATAGAATTAAAATTCAGAGAAAATGAATATTAGGAAATGTTTCATATTAAATTCAGGAAATATTAAACAATAATTATAAGAAGATTTTATTTGGAATAAAAGAAAACTATAATTTATTTAAACTAGCAAAACTAGAAAGTGATGGTAGCCAACTTTGTAGAAACAAACTTTTCAAATGCACAAACACTTCAGTGAAATTTAAGCTAGGAAATGGAAGATGGAGAAGATATTCTGGTCTTGAAATAAAGACATAGCAGCAGGTAATACAGTGTGTGATGCCACAGCTGGTATGTAACCATGATAGTGAGCACAGAAAACTTGTGGAAAGTAAAGGCTAGTTTGTGAACTGGTCATGAAAGGGTAGTTGGGTGGGATAATCAAATAAATTGCAAAATTTTTAACAGTCTATCTCATTTAAATATTCACACTTTCTACAGAAGTGTTGAAGATATTTATTATTAAGAAAAATTTTAATGTGCCAGGCATTTAGCTCAGTGGTGCTGCCACCTGCTTCTCAAGTGCAAGGTCCTGAGTTCAATCCCCGGTACCAAAAAAAAAGTAGATAGACAAGAAAAATTTCACATCAAATGTAAATTATCGTGACCTAAATTATGATATTCCACAAATAAAAGCTAAGCTCTGCTAATTACTTTTGTTACTTCACATTATTTAAAAAGTATTGCTAGTTTAAATACATTTTAGTTTTATTTTATTCTAAATAAAATCTTGCAATTATTGTTTAATATTTCCTGAATTTAATATGAAACATTTCCTAATATTCATTTTCTCTGAATTTTAATTCTATTTTGCTTTCTCCTCATTATATTATTGATCATATATCAATAAGTTTTATTCTAAATAAAATCTTGCAATTATTGTTTAATATTTCCTGAATTTAATATGAAACATTTCCTAATATTCATTTTCTTTGAATTTTAATTCTATTTTGCTTTCTCCTCATTATATTATTGATCATATATCAATAAGTAGTAATTTGCTTAAAATTTTATTAGAAATATCACTTTTATATATAATAGAAATTTTAGGAAAAAATTAATGTTAACATTAGATTGACCAGAAGAAAAGCAAATCTTGGCAATGGTCACATTGATGTTAATAATGCAGTTAAAAAAATGAATATAAACTCGTCTTGGTGGGGCACTCCTGTAATCATAGTACTCTGGAGCTTGATGCACCAGGATCATTGTGAGTTCAAGGCCAGCCTGAGCTACATAGCAAGACTATATCTGAAAAAATAAATAACAATAAAACTTACCAAATTATTATTTTATTATTCAAATAGCCATAAAATCAAATTCAATTTTTAAAATTTTATTAATAACTACTATAAAACTAACACATTATATAATATTACTGTTGCTTGAAGGAAGCATTTCTCCTATAAAACTGCTATGGTAAGTGTCTCCATCTTGTACTTTGTGACCAGTTGGCAATTAGAGTAACTGCCTAATTAACCTAAGAATTATGAAAGGAAAGCTAATTCTTTGCTAGAACCACCACATAATCTCTGGCTTCATTCTAAAA